CTCCCACGTGGAGCATGCGTCTCGGATAACAACGGGCAGGGAACCCAGGGACTCATTCTACTTCCACTCCCTTCCATCCCCTCGTTTTTGGGATCTGGGTTGGATCCTGGACCTGAGTATGAGGCCACTTGTCCCCTGATAAGTGCACAGCTCTGTCCTTCTGCCAGGAGGGTGCAGCCAGGTGGGGGTCGGGCTCTTCTCCCAGGTAACAAGTGACAGGACAAGACGAAATTGCCTCAAGTTGTGGAGGTTCAGGTTGGATATTAGTGAAAATTTCGTCAGTGAAAGGGTGGTCAGGCATTGGGACAGGCTGTGGAGGAGTCTCCATCCCTGGAGGGGTTTGAAAGCCTTGCAGATGTGGCACTTGGGGACATGGGCTCATGGTGGGCTCAGCAGTGCTCAGGGCACAGCTGAACTCGATGATCTCGGAGATCTTCTCCAACTCAAATGACTCTCTGTTCTATGACACCCACTGATGTCAAATCATTCACCTCCCCCTATTTACAGCCCCGTGGGTTAGTGGTGGGCTCAGCAGTGCTGGGGAATGGTTGAGCTTGCTTAGAAGCCTTTTCCAACCTAAGCAGTTCCGTGATTCGGCAGCTTGGGAGCCTGGCTCCGCAGGCCAGGTGTCATTCCCGGGGGATCTGCCCGGCCCTGGGATCTGCCCTCGCCCCGTGCGTGCCCGGCCGGCCCCGGGGCCGCGCTGCCCGCCCTCTAACCCGCGTGTCTCCCCAGCCTCCACGCTCTCCCAGCTGTCGGACAGCGGGCAGACCCTCAGCGAGGACAGCGGGGTGGACATCGGGGAGCTCGAGAGCAGCGGCAAGGACAAGAGCCGGCAGCCGGGCCCTGGGAAAAGCCGGAGCCTCAAGGAGGCCGCGAGGAGCGAGGGGGCGGCTGAAGGGGCCTCCAAGCCGGTGAGGGCCCGGGGGGGCTGCTGGTTGTGGGAAGGGGCACCTGGGGCTGTCCCCCACTGCCTCATCCGGCCAGTTCTGCTCCCCCTTCCCCACCTGGCAGCAACTGCTCTGCTGTGCTTTGGTGGGTTATTTATCCTCTGGGGGGCTGAGCTGTGGGGAAAGGGGTCAGGAGTGGCTGAAAGGGGCTCTGTAGAGCTGATTCACTCCATGCTGGGTAAATCCAGTCCCTCCCAGCTACAGCAGGCATGGCAGAATCCCTGGCTCTGAGGGAACATCCCCAGGGCGCAGTGAAGTCACCTGTAGCCTGGAAGGGAAGGTGGCAGCAGGTATCAGGGGGTTTCTGATGGTGGTATAGGTAGGCAGGCAGGGAGCTGCTCTGCTCTTCTTCAAGTTCTTCCAGCCCTACCCGTGGTCGGGATCTTGGATGTCAAGAGTTAGGGAGCGAATGTGTCTGTCTCTCTGCAGTGACAGCCAACCGTGGGTGTCCCTGCCTGCTCTGGGACACCCCAGGGAGTGTGGCAGGCACATGATGTCCAGCTTCCCTTAGCAGTGCCCTCTCTCCCCACAGCCAGGGCTCCTGGAGCCCACGTCGTGTCTGATCCGGGTGTCCAAGAGCGCTCCCACCTTGGGCATCGCCATCGAGGGCGGAGCGAACACGCGGCAGCCGCTGCCCCGCATCGTCACCATCCAGGTAGGGCGGGCTGGGAACGGGAATAACTCCATGGACATCCCATCCCTCTGCTTCCTGAGCAGGCTGGGAAAGCCTTTGAGCCACAGCCAGAGCAGAGGGGGGATTTTAGAGGTGCCTCCCCCTGCTACAGCCCTGCACGTCCCCAGCCATCATCCTGCTGTGGGGGTTTGCATCCGTGTCCCGTGGATGATCCTGCACCGTACCAGACATCCTGGGAGCCAAGGATTTGCTGCAGACATTTCAGAGGGAGTCAGGGCAGCCCTGAAAGCTTGGCTGGTGTCTCCAGATGTCTGGAAACTCCCAGACAGAGGACTGGGGAGGGGGAGTGGTGGATGAGCGCCAGACAACTGAGCCCTCCAGAGCTGTCTCCCTGTTTGCTGTTTACTTGGGGCAAAATTCAAGTTATTTACAGCAAAAGAAAAGCAGAACTGACTGTGCCTTGGTTATTCTTGGCCACCCCAGCTGGCGCCACGCTCCAGGAGCAATCAGGAGGGGAGCCAAATTCACCCCCTCTCTCCAAAAAGCGAAATATCTCATATCCATCACGTTCCTTCGCCGGTTCAGGGTGAACATGAGCGATATGAAATATATCCCATTTGTTTTTCCCCCAAAAACCAACTGGGTTGAGCCAAGGGAGGGATGGTGGGAAGGTGAGCTGACCACCTCTCTCCTGCAGCGTGGGGGCTCGGCACACAACTGTGGGAAGCTGAAGGTGGGCCACGTCATTTTGGAGGTGAACGGCACGGGCCTGCGAGGCAAAGAGCACCGGGAGGCCGCCCGCATCATCGCCGAGGCCTTCAAGCTGAAGGACAAGGACTACATTGACTTCTTGGTCACAGAATTCAACGTGGCCCTTTAGGGACGGCTTTTGGGAGCGCGGAGTGGGCCGGGGGTGAAGGGCAGCGCCGAGGTGTGAACGAGGTCCCGCCACGCAGAGCCCGCGCACGCAGACACCCCCAGCTTGTCCCCAGATGTCCCCTCGCCCGCTGTGGACTCGCTGCCCGGGTAGGGCAGGCTGAGAATGGGCAGAAATCACTGCACGTCCCTCAAAAGTCTCCACCCTGTCCTGTCTGGGGTAGGGAAAACACCCTCTCCCCCTTGGGAGGACAGCAGAGGTCTGGGTGTCCCCCCTGTCATTTGAGTGCCACACACACAGCAAGGCGGGCCCGTGGCTCAGGCTGGAGGGGTTTTGGGTGGTGGCCACTCCCTTGGGTGCTCACCCCCCGTGCCCAGGGGAGTGGCACAGGCCACGGGTGGGGAGGCAGAGAGAGCAACTGGAGGCCTTGTAAATCGCTGGCAACGTCGTCGTATTTATATATACAGAGCTTGTGCTTTTAATTTTTCAATAAATCTATCAGGGTA